AAGAGCACTCCCCAGAGGGCTCCAAGGAGGCAAAATTCATTACTTGTCCTTAGGTTTTGGGCAGATTTTGACGTGTCCATCTTTTCGGTTTGCCGACGCCCCAAGACGGCCCAAGAGGCCCCCAAGATCGCCCCAAGAAGGCCAAGAAGCTCCCAAGAAGGCCCCAAGATGGCCCAAGAAGGCTCCAAGACGGCCCCAGAGGCATCCAAGACGGCCCAAGACGGGCCCAAGAGGGCCCCAAGCGATGCCCCAAAGGGGGAACACAAAACAAAACTTCGAGGCCACGGCCTTAAGAAGCCCCCAGGAGGCCTCAAGAGGCCCCTGAGAGGCCCAAGAGGCCCTCAGGAGGCCCCCAAGCGACGCTGAAGAGGCCCCCCAGCGGCCCCAAGAGGCTCAGTCATGCGAAATGGGCCGGCGGAGTGAGCGAAGCGATTGAATTAAGCGGAAACGGGTCACGCGCGTATGTGGTGAGCCCACGAGACACTCAGGGGGCGGGCGGAAAGGATGGGGAGAGCGACCGCCCGCGAACATGCATCTACATATGTTTTTTACGTCTGCGGCGAGGCAAACATGCTGTTCCACCTGGGGGCGATCCGGGGCGACAGATACGCGAATTGGCCGGCATGCAACAGGGGGATACAGGGATGACGAGGCGGCCGCGGAGGACGAGAGGAGAAGCAGGGCACTCAGACGCAGAAGACTTCCATGTCGAGTGGGCCGGCGTGGCCAGCAGCGGCAACGGGGCCGTGGCAGCAGCCGGGCCGCAATTTCGGTGCACCCGTGGGCGCTGCCGGTGTTCAGGACGAGATAGGTCAAATTGTGAAACGGTACAGGACTCCAGGTTAGGGAGTGCCGACAGCAAAATGCTGCGCCCACCAAGTGGCAAGCTGAGGAGAAATGCGCCATAGCGCAGCATCCGCAGCAAAAGGCACCAGAAGGGGGGGGGGGGCTGCGCACCATGAGCGGCAGCAAGCGGCGCCATGGCGGCGCGCGAGGGGGGGGAGGGAAACAGGCCAGGAAAGAAAGGAGGGGAGGGAAGGAGACAGGAGTGCCCGTCCTGCGGCCTCCTGCGGGAGACCCCCGGCACTCACACACACGCGCACACACACACACCTTTTAAGTCGGCGGCACGGAAGGTCCTCAACCGCGGGCAGCAGATGGAGCTGCGAATTGCGATCGAGGATTGTCGAACGCACAGTGTTCGTTACACACACACACACACACACACATGCACACATACACGTGTAGACCAGGACATGGACAGGGACAAACCCGGGGACGGCAGGGCAACGGAGAGGGGGGGAGCGGGTCAGACGGCAAGGCAAGCGAAGAGAAGAGGGGCCGGGCGAGAGATGGGAGACCAGCGAAAAGTCATGGGTAAATCGCGGTAGCGCAGCGGAGCGAACGCCGGAGTCGTGCGTGCTCCTCTGGGGAGCCCGCCCATGCCCGTTAGGGCATGGCGTGGAGGCCGTGGCCTCAAACATGTGGACCATAGGCGGACTCACGTGATAACCACCACTCAGTGCTATCAGCCGCTGACAACCACCGCAGGTCGTTGTGCTGCTGTGTTGGCGTTGCCATGGTTGGGTAAATCGCGGTAGACTGTGGCCAAGAAAGCAGGATTCATGGGTAAAAGAGGTGAAACTGCAAGGTTGCCATGGTTGGGTAAATCACGGTAGCCTGTGGCCGAGAAAGCAGGATTCATGGGCAGAGGAGGCGAAGCTGCAAGGGAGTGCGGAAAGTCGCAATGCCGTGGTTGCGTAAATCACGGTAGACTGTGGCCGAGAAAGCAGGATTCATGGGCAGAGGAGGCGAAGCTGCAAGGAATTGCGGAAAGTCGCAATGCCGTGGTTGCGTAAATTGCGGTAGCCTGTGGCCGCGAAAGCAGGATTCATGGGTAGAAGAGGCGAAGCTGCAAGGAACTGCAGAAAGTCGCAGAGGATAATGCGCAACCATCGCTGCCCCCGTCGGCCGTCCAGCGGACAGTGGTCATGGCAGGCTATCATGCAGGAGGACCTCCAAAGATCCAGAAGGTCTGCAGGAGTCCCGCGAAACACCCAGAGGCCTCCAGACGGCAATAGGAGCCGCCACACACCCCAAAACCTCGATCCTCGATCTTCCCTCTCCTCCTCCTCCTCCTCCTCCTCCTCCTCCTCCTCCTCCTCCTTTTCCTCCTCCTCCTTCTCCTCCACTTCCTCCTCCTCATCATCCGTTCCTCCTCCTCCTCCTCCTCCCCTCCTCCTCCTCCTCCTCCTCCTCTTCCTCCTCTTCCTCCTCCTCCTCCTCCTCCCCCTCCCTTCTCCCTCCTCCCTCCTCCTCCTCCTCCTCCTCCTCCTCCTCCTCCTCCTCCTCCTCCTCCTCCTACTCTTCCTCATCCTCCTCCTCCTCCTCCTCCTCCTCCTCCTCCTCCTCCTCCTCTCCTCCTCCTCTTCCTCCTCTCCCCCCTCCTCCATCCTCCGTCTCCTGCTCTGGCGACGACGCTGCGGAAGAGGAACGCGGCCTTCTGCTTAGCTCCATCCATGGCGGCCATCAGCGCCGCAGTGTGTCTGACGTCGAAGTGGGGCGAGAAGAAGGTGTACACGTGCGTGTTGCTGGGGATCGGTGCGGCGATAGACGGGAGCAGGGCGAAGCAATGAATGGAGGCCTCCCAAATCGAATGGAGCCGAAGTGGATGAGTCGGATGATCGATCGCGCCGCATCGCCGATGCATCGGCGATGCATCGACGACGTCGGGGTGGAGAAGATCGGGTTCTTGGTCGCGCCGCTGTGTGGAGAGGCGAGAGAAGGGGCCGACGAGAAAGCAAGGGGACAGGGGCAGAAGAGGGGAGCAAGAGAGAGGGAGTGGAAGGGACTTCCAACAACTCTGTCATGCTGGTGGCATAACTGGGATGTGGCTTCTGATGCGCTTTGGGCCGGCTATTCCTCGCTCGAGAGCTCGTGATATTGTGAGTGCGTGGCCTGACTGGCAGGGAGAAACGCACGCCCTCTGCAGGCTCCAATGCGCGGATATATCACACAAACCCGGAGTTGTTTCACTGAGTGACAATCATATGCTTTCGGGGTCACATAGAGATTATATCACTTTTCAATGTTTCACCAAGGATCCCCATGCAAGTGTGGCCAATGATGGAGGGTCTCTCGCGATCCCTGCAATCAAGCTTGCTTAAGCCTTTTTCGCTGCCTCCAAAACAATTGGTGAAAGAGTAAGACGGCGAGAAGAGAGGAGCAGCACTGACATGCGGAGAGGATGATAGCATGAGGATCGGCGATGCGAGGAAGAGATTGAGAAGAGAGGGGACAAGCACTCGAAAGGGTCGGTCGGCACTTCGCTGCCCTCACACCGGCTGCACCACTCGCAGCCTCCTCCCACCCGCTCCCCCATAGCCTATAGATTGCACGCCCGACAAGAGATGAACGAGCCTGTCAGCACGCTTGAACAGCCTGTACAGGTAGAGCTGGAGGGTCATCGGGAAGTCGTAGTTCACCAGCACCGTGGCAGCCTGCAGGCCCACACGCTCCAGCGCGGGGGCTGGACTGCCAGGGGCACCAAGCCAGAGGAGCGCGTCGCCTGGTGAACGTCAAGGCCCCGTCTCCACCAACCCTCCCAATCCAATCCTCGTCTTCTCATCCTCCATATCCTCCTCCTCCTCCTCCTGCTAATTCCTCCTCCTCCTATTCCTCCTCTCCTCCTCCTCCTCCTCCTCCTCCTCCTCCTCCTCCTCCTCCTCCTCCTCTCCTCCTCCTCCTCCTCCTCTCTCCTCCTCCTCCTCCTCCTCCTCTTCCTCCTCCAAATTATTCCCTCATCAGCATCATCATCAGCATCAGCATCATCATCATCATCATCATCATCATCATCATCATCATCATCATCATCATCATCATCATCATCATCATCATCATCATCATCATCATCATCATCATCATCATCATCATCATCATCATCATCATCATCATCATCATCATCATCATCATCATCATCATCATCATCATCATCATTATCATCATCATGATCATCATCACTTTGTCGCCTGGAAGCTCGACCGACTGCGCTCGACCCCGTGGCGGAGCGAGCCGGCACCCAGAATCCCGCAGTCGCTGCCAGGGAGCGTCTTGACGAGGGCGGTGGTCGGGGAGGTGCAGGGAACGCTGACAACATTCTGTGCTCGAGATTCTTGGACACACTGGCGGCGCTACGCAGCTGGCCGGCCGACAGCGCACTCCTCATGCGCAGCGTGCCCGCCGGATTAGTATACCGGCGGACAGATGAAGCTGCTAGCCAGCGGCCCCGAGTCTGCAGGGCAGCACCACTCGCCTTGAAACGCCGGGCGTCGTGACTGGGGCCAGCGCGGCGGAAGGAATGGGGTGAGAACGGCAGGTGGGCGGTGAAGAACTCGGCACGGAACCCACGGCAGGCTGCGGCCCAACGCGCGGCCGTCACGTTCGGGAAGAGCGAGGCGGCGTCGCCGCTGGCTGGGCGACGGCCGCTCGGGCCGCCAAGTTCAGGACGTGCAAGACCCAGCCGCGGTCGTAGGCCCCGACGATGGTGGAGGCGTCGAAGTCGAAGTTCTCGGCAGGCGCCGCGAGGGGGTCGCTGGCGTTGAGCGGCGCGACGGTGATGACCACGTCGAGGGCGCCGGAGGCCCGCGGCGCCACGTGCCGCACTGTCAGGTTCAGCACCTCGGCGGGGCGGAGGTAGCAGTCGAAGGCGATCGCGGAGGCGGCCGCAACGAGGGCGAGGAGGCCCCCGCGCCGCAGCCACACGTCACAGGCCAGGAACAGGTACCCGACGGGCGGGGAGTCGCGCGGCTGCTCGGGCGAGGCGCGCGCGAAGCCACGCAGCGCGGCCTTCGCGAGCGGCAGGCTGGCGCGATCCGGGGGGGCGAGCCCCGAACAGAACGCGGCGCCGTGCGCCGCGCACCGCGCCTTGGCCGGCGGCAGCCCGTCGAAGAACATGGCGTCGAGAAGCTCGTCGAACACGGCGCCCCACGCGGCGGGGCCGCCAGGCTCGCGGTCGGTCAGCCTGGCCTGCCGCCCGACCTCCGCGAACGACCCACGGCAGCGCCGAGCCGTGGCGGGGCGGGCGGCGGCGCGCTGGCAGGCGCCAGGGGCGTCACCGCAGGCCTCGCGGCGGACCTCTGACTACCTGCCAGACCACCCCAACCCAACCCGAAGACCCGAATTTCGGGTTGGGGGGGGTACGGGTTCCACGCGTGTTTTCTCAATGTTTCCCGACCCCCCCCCCACACTAGAAATCGAGGGTAAATCTGAGCCTTCGGGTTGGGTTGGGGTGGTTTGGTGGGTGGTGAGCCTCGGCGCGGCGCCCGTCAGGATCCACGCTGGCTCAACATAAATAGCTCCTCCCTGGCGCACCTCCAGACGTGTCCGCAGGCCGAGCTGGGCGTTCCGCCCAAGACTTCCTCACCACGCTTGATCCGGAGACGTGAAGTGTGCAAGAACTTCAGAGATAGAGGGCGGGCCGTTATCAAACTGAACCTTTCGCCTCAGCGCCGCGAACACTCGACTCAACAGCGCGCAATAGTTTCAAGGGCGGACTGCGGGTCGGTTTCGAAATAAAGCTCTCGCCTTTACGGCTCGCACATTCGTCTTAAAAGCTTGCAACAGTTTCAAGTATGGAGGCCGGCTCTTTCTCAAGATGTAGCACTCACCTTAGCGCCGCGAGCCTGCGTCTTGAAAACAAATTACAACGACTTCAAGGTTCGTGGGGATGAAGTCGCAGGAACGGCTTCGGGCACGATTAAGGATTGCCAGGATGCAACAGTCAGGTGGACTCGCGGTGTTGAAATCCCAAGAACTTGTCCTGGCACAGTTCAGGATTGTGAGGACGCAGCAGTCACGTCGATTCGCGGCGTCGGAATTGTGTCTTGGTACGACCTACGATTCTCAAACAATTTTGTAATTTGAGGGGCCGAATCCTATCACATGCGGAACGGTTTGTGATTGCCGTCTTCTTGTCCTGGCGAGGCATCTCCCCTTTCTGGAGTCTGGGGGTGCGAAATCTTTACTTACTTTGACTTTTTCGGACGGCTGCCTTTCAACAGGCCACTTCCTGTGAGATATGCGCTGTACATCTTGTGTATTCTGCAAAACATGACTGTAGCATAGCGAGCGCACTGTTACGTTTGGGCCCGAACCCTTTAGGGCCCTTGAGTCGAGCGCGCCAGCGGTGTGAAGAGACTATCAGATGTTCTTCTGGCTTTTCATTCTTACTGTTGCCATCAAAGACTTCGGGGGCTTTAATAAGTTCACATTGGTAGCGGAGCCTGGTAAGCCAGGCTCACGTTTCGACCTTCCATATCTCAGCGACCTCTCTTCGGATCTGGTCGCACACTCCATAAGCAGCTTCGATCCCCCAGCTAATCTCAGCGATTGCACAGCAGATCTCAGCGATTTCACAGCAGATCTCAAAGGAGATTTTCAAGTCAGTTTCTCGGCAGCCCACAAACACGACCTCACAGCCGGTTTCATAGATAAGAGCAGTTTCGATTTCGAGCAGCAAGCATCGGACGGCAAACCCTTGCAGCTTCAGTTCAGCACGATGTCTAAGCCAATGGCGGACATGCTAGTGGAGCAAGGAGTTCCACAGTTCGACGGCACGCAAAGCAAATGGAAAGAATACGAGAAGCGGGCGATGATTTTCATTGCGAAGCTCACATTGGAGAAGAAGGAGGACGAAGCGGCTCTCATGCTCAGCGCAGGTCTCACAGGCGAAGCTTAGGACGATGTGGAGGATCTCTCAGCAGACGAGCTCATCAAGCCCAACGCGGCGAAGCAACTCATGGCCAGATTACGGAATTGTTTCAAGATGGACGACAGGACGGAGCTCGCGGACGACTTTGAGGAGTACGTCTTCAAGCTTAAGCGGTACAAGGGCGAGACGCTGTTCGCCCACATCTCAAGAGTGCGCGCTGCACAGCGCAAGCTCAGGACGCACGACATCGAGCAACCGGCGAAGGTCCGAGGCTGGCTCGCGCTACGACGAGGAGGCTACAGCGCGGACCAGAAGGCGTTCATCATGTCAGTAGTTGGTAAGGATCTCACACAGGAGAAGGTTATCGAGGCGTTGGAGACAACGTTCGGGCAGGAGAGTATCATACACGAGCCGAATCACGCACGGAAGCAATATTTCGTCAACGAAGACACAGCAGAGTACTACAATGAGGAATTCTACACTGGCGAGCCGGAAGACGAGCCAGACGACTACGACCTGACGTACTGGGCGCAGGTGACGAGACCTGGTACGACTGCGACGAGAGCTATTACGAGCGCGACTCAAACACAGCTCAAGAGCTCGACCCAAGCGAGCACGACGAAGTCTACGCGGCCTGCGCGGACGCCAGGAAGCGGTTCAACGACCTGAAGCTAGCACGCGGCTTCTACCCGGTTGTGGCAATGGTAGGCGGAAGTTCGGGTTCGGCCGCAGCATCAGCAGGAGGTTCACACGGACGAGGCCGGTCAAGCAGCAAAGGCACCAAAGGACGCGGCAAGTCCAAAGGAAGAACGGGCAGCCCAAAAGGATCATCACCTCCAGGCGCATACAGCAGACCACGACCTACGGCAGCGGACCCAATGGAAAGGGGCAAGGGCAGCTACGAAGCCAGCACCGACATCAACACCATCGGCCAACTGCCTACGACGCGGCAAGCCCGGCCACTGGGCTAGGGACTGCACCGAGCCACCCAACAAGAGGCGGGTCCACACCGACGACAGCTTGATGGTCGATGAGGTCTACTGGGACGACAAGTGTCATAGCAAGGCCTACACCAGCGCAGTACCAGCAAGCAATGGAGTCATGGACTGTGGAGCGACGACTCTCATGTCCGGCTCAGAGACGATCAAGGACTACGCGAGGGACTGCCGACAGAAGGGCTATTCGAGGACCTCAGGTTCTACAAGTGCCGATGGCCTCTTCGGTTCGGTAACGGCAAGATCGAATATCCGCAGTGGTGTGGCACAATACCTGCCAGCTTCAAGCAGAAGTCAGGCACGCTCTACATCTACGTGGTACCGGGACTTACACCCATCCTATTTCCGAGGCCGTTGCTGAAAGTGTTCGGAGCGCAGGTCGACTACGCCAAGCAGACAGTTACGTGGAGCGGCGGCGAGCTCGAGGCTGCAACGCTATCACCTCAAGGACACTACACGGTGGACCTAGTAGAGGAGTTGGACGGGAAGACGAATCACCACACGAACGACTTCGAGTACGAGCCCGTCGATGCAGCGCAGTTCCTTGACCCCAGCAACGAGACCATGAGCGGCATATAGTTTCTGGACAACGCCTACCTGGCGGACTCCAGCGAGAACGGCGAACAGCAGGCGACCTCACACAGAAGGCTGTGTCCGACGCGTAGTACAAGTTAGTTGCTGCAAAGCCTACATGGAGTTGTGGCAGTGTCAGCAGCATTCCTCATGTGGCAACCTGTGCTTCACTACGACAGCCATTGAGCCAGTCGACGCCACGCTATCGGAGCCATGCTGGTGC